GGACCGCTTCGGAAAGATACCACAAAAACTACTCGGATGAGGACAAAATTCAAATCTCAGGGATTACTTCAGAGCACAGATTTTCAAACAAACATAAAGGATCAAGACCCTCCAACTTTTTGTTCCAAATAGCAAGAGGCTCTGGGGCTACACTCAGTGAGTGCACTTTTTCTCCGAAAAAGCGCACGTCACCAAAAGACTTCCTCAACGCAGACTACTTCAAGACATTATGACAAAAAGAACCCAGAACGAGCCATATTCGAGTTCTTTTTGACAAAACTTCAACGAACAATCAGAGCAACTTCAAGACAAGATCCTCCAGCTCCTTGTTCCAAATAGCAAGAGGCTCGGGGCTACAACCAGATGGATGTACTTTTTCTTCACAAAACACTCACCACTCGAAGGTCCCAAGAAGCGCTACAAGGTTTCACTCGAAAGCACTTCGGATAACATTTTGTTCCTACCTAACAAGACTTGAAGGAGCAAAGCGAGACTTTCGAGCTCAACCATGAAGTGCTCTGGGCTTGTCGATCAAGGGACCCATAGGATACCCAAGAAGAGAGAGAGATCTAGTTCAACTAGGATTCTTCCCATGTAATCTTAGTAATAGAACTATTAAGTAATCCTACTAGGAAATCTCATTGTAAACCGATTAGGACTCTGGCCTCCTGACTATATAAAGGAGGGCAGGGCTCCTGAACTAGGACAATGGTATGACATAACACTTCATAATCAATCCAACGCAAAAGGCAAAAGCCGACTGGACGTAGGGTTGTTACTCGATCTTCGATCGAGGGCTGAGAACCAGATAAATCGATTGCTTCTCTTCGTTCACCATCGAAGTTCAAAGATACGCCAAGCCCGAACGACAATCGCCACTTCACATTCCCCTATGGTAGGCTATCGGTGGTAAAACATCGACATTTACTATTGTAAATCATCATGTGATTTTGAGCTAAAAATGACATAGAAATCACATAGCTCAAAAATATGTTTCAATAAATAACCATCCATACTAGTTGACCTTGCTTACGTGATCATCTCGGCGAGCATTTCTCCACCGGACGGCACCATGCTTGGCCAAGGAAGAGCTCCGATTCTACGAGGAAGGCAACACGGTCTTCCACGACCGTTGTCGCTCTCCCTCGTAGAATCAAAGCTCCTCCTTGATGTCCGTTACCGCTCGACAGAGAACATGCTCGTCGAAATGAACACGGTCCGCAAGTTCAAATAGTACGGATTTTCTATAATTTTCTAACTATTTTCTTAGTTTTTCATTTCATGGAAAATTTAATTCTAAAAATAAAAGGCATGATTTCTAAGTATTTCATTTCATGGAAAAAATAATTCTAAGTGACCTGCTTTCGATCGGTATCGGCGAGCTCATGCGTTAGGTTGCAAGATAGTAACATTTGTAGATGACATTTGTAGGTCTGAAGTTATCAAATATCCATCAAATTATAGCTCAAAAACATGTTTCAATAAATAACCATCCTTACTAGTCGACCTTGCTTACGTGATCATCTCGGCGAGCATTTCTCCACCGGACGGCACCGTACTTGGCCAAGAAAGAGCTCCGATTCTACGAGAAAGGGAACACGGTCTTCCACGACCGTTGCCGCTCTCCCTCGTAGAATCAAAGCTCCTCCTTGACGTCCGTTCATGCTCGCCGAGCTTAACACGGTCCGCAAGTTCAACTAGTACGGATTTTTCTACAATTTTCTAACTATTTTCTAAGTTTTTTATTTCATGAAAAAATTAATTCTAAGATCACGTAAGCCGCCGGGGACGAGGATGGCGCGTGCTCCAGCGAGGACGAGCGAGGCGTGATTTTGATGAACTAATTTAACTTTTGTTTATCTAAACATATATGCAAATCATCATGTGATTTTGAGCTAAAAATGACATATAAAATCATAACAAAGTCCAACGTATAAAATTACATATGCGTCTACATCGCAACATGAGATAAGCTACTGATAAAACATAAGAGGATTAAGTTTGTTACCTCCAAAATCGAAAAGCAACACCAATGGAGAGGGAGAGAGCAAGAACAACAGCAAGCTGAAGAACAGAGGCAGTGAGTTTGAATGGAATGGCTCGGTTCGGGGAGGAAGAAATGAGCTGGTGTATAGGCCGGGATAATTAGTCCCGGTTAGGGAGCCAAACCGGGACTAAAGATTAATATTTATTCCCGGTGCATCACCCAAACCAGGACTAAAAGCTTTAGTCCCGACTGGTATTATCAATCGGGACTAAAGGGTCCTTTAGTCCCGGGGACAAAAAAATGCCGAGGCTAATGCTAAATTGGGACATCGTTCTAAAGTCTGTTCTCTAGTAATGTGTCTAGCAGGTAGCCCTAAAGATGGCATGTAAATAATAATACAGTATCTTTCATTTTTTTATATATCAAAATCATCATGCCATTTTAGTTCAATTTAAAAAAGTAAAGAATTGTGCTTGCTCCTACACAAACTTGAAAGTGCAAGCTAGATCTACCTGTTGTAGAGTGCGGGTCGATAATGATCAAATTCTAAGTTTGATGTCTACTAGTGTATCTTATTGTGTGTCTATTTATTATAAGCGGCCGGCAATATGACACTTAATAAGGGGTTGTTATATGCCACATGAGTACTGCTTAATTAGTTTTCTTCAGGTTGGGCTAAATCTAATTGATTCCACTACCAGAAACATAGTTGACCGAGCATCAGCCTGCCTTTCCTTAATATTTTTCCCCTTTTGTGCTCTTCCTTACACTATTGGTGGAACAATTTCTATATAGTAATAGGACGTTTTCTTTTAGGACTTGTTTGGATCCACTAGTGCTAATAGTCGGTAGGTTTCGAGATTGATAAAGTCACTACATACGCTTCATTCTCAACGCACACGTCTCTTACCACTAAAAGATAACCGTGCTAACTATGCTCCCAATGCTTGCAAATCATAAGATGCAAAATACTCATTTACATACATGCACACTCATCTCTATCAGGGGCGAACGCTAGCTTACAATCTATGGTGGTACACAGTATTCACAACCCTATACAAACATGTGCAATTTCAACTAATTTATATGGTCAAAATAAGGTACTTAGTAGTAATAATGTTTTTTGCCTGATGCCAGTGCACCACCCACACATAACATTGCCTTGCCCCTAATCTCTATGAATACATACACACACTCTATCCTTACGGGCATCTGCAATCAATAGATTTTAAGATGATGATGAAGTCACTATATACATCTCGTTGTCTACGGACACGTTGCCTACAAGAAAAGCCTTTTAAGCCATGCTTGGTAACACACGTGTCCTACTCTACCTGCATCAGGACTGGTGAGAGCCCGCGATGCAAGGTTATATAGTAAGAGGAAATAAGAAGTATGGTAAGATGAATGAAATGAAAGGCAGAAATATGTGACATGTTTTATTGCAAACATATATTTGCTTTCAATGTGAAAAAAGTAATGCCAGTAAATCATGTTATTTTAAGAAAATGTGAGCACCCTATGTCAAATCGAGAACTTGAATCTAAGTGAATAATTCTACCGTAAGAAATCTAATAACTAGGTAAACAATACTCAGCACATGCTTCTTAATGTCTCAAGAGAACATGGTATGGCTAACACATGGACTAAGAAACAGTCATGGAGAAAGCAAAATAAGTAAAGAGGAGGTCATGCTCAAAAGTCAAAACAGTAAAGAGGAGGTGGCAAGTTGCTATTTTTCATGTTTTTTAAGGAAGGCAGGGAATATATTTATCATTTAAAGTTTACATCCAGGAATACAGGTGGAGAGCCAAACCATACATGTCAACCCTCTCCAAGAGTACATGCATACTTAGCAAGACAATGGCCTCGTTCGGCTTGCTGAATCTTGGTTGAAATTGGTTGAAAAATACTGTTCTGACTGAAATGTTGTGAGAGAGAAAACACTGTTCCGGCTGAAAAAAAAGACGAATAAGCCGGATATAGAATAAGCCGAATGGGGCCAATGAGCTTCCCTATTGTACTCCCTACCTTCATGTACGAACCGTACATATTGACAAGACTTTAACCTCTGGAAAATATCCTGGAGGATCATCATATAACTGCAACGTGGTATGTCTTTGATGTTCTTGACGACATTTAGACAATCCGATGCCACTAACAGCTTGCGGATACCACAATCTTCAGCAAGAGCTAGTGCTTCCAAATAAGCTAATGCTTTTAGAGTTTCAGGGTCAATTATGTTTGGAATAACCATGGCACTAGCTGCAACAAAATTTCCCTGATTATTTCGGCACACAGCTCAATAGTGAGCCATTCGTTTTTTTAAGAAAAAAATAGTGAGCCATTCGTGGATCACAAGTTTTCTGAGCTTGGGCCGGTTTATTGAACTTACACTCAGGCCCATAATATGATTGCTCGCTGTGCCGAGGCTAGCTCTATCTAGCGGCCCAACACGGAGCCATGCCGTGCACCGTGGGCCCACGGCGTCGTGCATGTCGGGAAGAAGGAAAAAGTACATCTGATATCCTTAACCACTGAGAAAGTTCAATTTGTCTCGTTCAAAAAGGTAAATCTTATAGTTTCAAACGTTTGCGAAGTCTAAAAATTCGGTTTCTAATTTATGAAGGCATGTTTTCTAATTTAGAGAGACAAATTAGACTTTTGTAATAGTTGAAAGAGATGAGATAGACTTTTCTCATAGAGAAAAACACACCACACACATGGACGATAGCAAGCAGCCTGTCTGACAGTCAACCTACGGTCCCTCAGCAGTCAGCACACATCGCAACCGTCCTGCCCAAACATGCCGTGGAATCCAACGGCCACACCGAGGCGCGGGCCGTTCCGCTGTCCAAACGCGCGCCGCGCCGCGCACCTACCCACCTACCACGCCTGAGAGGCCTGTTCGGCTGGTATTATCCACAAAATCCTGGAAACTCCCGGCAGAAGAACGTGGCGGGCCAAACCGACGTGCTCCCGGGCGTGTGGCGACGGCGACGGCGGCGGCGGCATGGAGCAAGAGCGGCAGGCGGTGGCGAGGAACAGGAAGGTGGTGCTGCGCGGGTACATCGAGCGCGCGCCCAGGGAGGACGACATGGAGCTCGTAGACGGCGGCGCCATGGAGCTGCGCGTCCCCGAGGGCGCTGGCGGCCCCGCGGTGCTGGTGAAGAACCTCTACCTCTCCTGCGACCCGTACATGCGCGGCAGGATGCGTGACTTCCACGGCTCCTATATCCCGCCCTTCAAGCCTGGATCAGTGAGCTTCCCTCGTTTTTTTTTTTTGGAGCTTGGGCTCTTTGGTTAGTTGCTCAAGCTGCAAGCTGCGAAGTGGGGGGTGGACGATTTGTGCGCTGATTGAGCAATTTCTTGATCTGTGAAGCCTATTGAAGGGTTTGGCGTGGGGAAGGTGGTCGACTCCACTCATCCAGGATTTAGTGCCGGTGACATTGTTTCCGGGATGACTGGCTGGGAGGACTACAGTCTGATCACCAAACCTGAACAGCTCAGGAAGATTCAGCAAAGCGACATACCACTCTCTTATCATCTGGGCCTTCTTGGTTAGTTCCTACTCCTACTTATGCTTTTTCTGTTTCAAAATTTTCAGCTGTATTCTAAAGCATAGAAAACACAAATGATGTGACGATAGGCTGTTGAGCAGCAGCAAGTGCATGAACTCTTTTTGTTGGAAAGACTTACCTTGGCTGAACAAATTTATTGTATACAAGGGATAAGAAAAGGACATAATCAAATAATTCAATGCCCCTCGCACCTTGTAGACATAATGCTGTGACAAGTACACCAAAGGTACGGGGTTGTGTGATTGAAAGAAATGGGAAACCGTAGCCTTGGTTGACAGATACTGGAATGAAAAAATATTTTCCTCTCTATGCTAGTCATTGTTTAATCCACCAGGCTTATGTCTCTTATTATGTGCTTCCTCCATGTATAGGCATGCCTGGTTTTACAGCTTATGTTGGATTCTATGAGATTTGTTCACCAAAGAAAGGGGAGTTTGTTTTTGTTTCTGCTGCATCTGGGGCAGTTGGGCAAATTGTTGGTCAACTTGCAAAGCTCCATGGTTGCTACGTTGTGGGAAGTGCTGGAACAAATCAGAAGGTACTAACTCATACTAGTACTTCATTCATACTTACCTGCATGCATTGCCCATGTAGTTGTGTCATCCAGGGTCCTCAATATCTTTCAGGTTGAGCTCCTAAAGGAAAAATTCGGATTTGATGCAGCTTTCAATTACAAGGAAGAGCCTGACTTGACTGCTGCACTAAAAAGGTCAGATTTTCTTAGGGAAAAACCATACCAAACTAATTTAGCTTGCAGGAAAAATTGATGAACCAAATTTGGATCATACTGAAATGGATGAACCTTTGGTGGATATAAACCTTTTTGCGAACTAATGATGACGACCTTATGCAATCATCTGATAATAGGAAAAGATTTATGTACCTAGGACGAACATACTATTCTTGAATATAATAGGACATCTTATCATTATTACTAAAATGGTGGAACTATCGATGTAATCTTTATCTGCACATGTTTTTCAGTCACGTGTCAAGTAAAGTTGACAAATAATCCATCCAGATCGTATTATTACACAGTGATCTTGATGTAAAAATGCATGTTTTCCTATGTAGGTACTTCCCTGAAGGCATAGACATCTACTTTGAGAACGTAGGTGGGCCAATGCTTGATGCGGTACTACTCAACATGCGAACACACGGCCGCATTGCAGTGTGTGGTATGGTTTCCCAGCATGGGGTAACTGCTTCTACTGGGATCCACAACCTGTTCTCCTTGATAAGCAAGAGGATAGAGATGAAGGGATTCATCCAGAGTGATTATGTACACCTGTTCCCACAGTTCGTGGATGACATCACCAAGCATTACAGAGATGGGAAGATTGTGTATGTGGAAGATGTGAGTGTTGGGCTGGAGAGCGGACTGGCTGCCTTTGTTGGTCTGTTCAGTGGTAAAAATATTGGGAAGCAGGTCGTGTGTGTGTCGCAGGATTGAGGGACCGTGTGCATTTTCGTCAAAAAAAAAAAAAATCGTGTGCATTCTAGTCAATATTAGAAGAGCATAGTAATATCAGAACCTCTGTTGCATTGAACAATAAAGGGAAGCCTCATCTCTTGTTGGATGACATGCTCCGTTGGATGTAGCATGATCTTGTTCAGACCTTGCCTGAGTACGACAGTACGTTGTCCCATTGAATATATCAAGTGAAAGTATTTAACTATGAATTCATACTTTTTATTCTGAATGAATTCGAGTGCTTACTGGCTAGGAGAGACGTTGTCTTTACTCTTCACATGTTTTAGCTGCCCGTCACATATAGGTTAATCAGTGTCCTGATAAATCGGTGATTGCAATGGCATCAGTGTTTCCAAGGTAGTGTCAGTCTTAGAAAATTGCTCATTTCCGGAGACCATTAATACAGAGGATGTCTCAATTTCCAGTCTTGGCTGCCAGTCATATAGTATTGCTTAGTCTGTTAGTCACGATGTGATGGCATCAGTGCACTGACCTTATGCGAAAAAAACGTTGACCCTGTACGGCAGGTACCACCTATTTTTCTAGTGTTGTCAGTTTCAGACTGCTTACTCGACCTTTGTCTTTCAGCGAGGGAGGGAGGGAGGAAGGGCTCCTCCTGTCCACCATCTGGCACATAATGGATGGAGGCCGGCAAGAATGCATGCCGGCATCCATCACAAAATGCCCCACTGACCACTGAGTTTTGAAATTGATTAGTTTACATTGGGTACAAACGATTGACACCACTTGGAGGCATTGGCTGCCCCTCATCTAAGGGAGACGCTGTCAACTGCTTGTAAGTGTCAAGCCAGGACCGGAGACTCTCCCAGCCTCACTGCGGTGCGTTATCGATGGAAGGCCGAAGGCAGCTCCTTCGTGGAAGCAAGCGCGTGTGGACCTGCCGAAACGCTCGCTTTCCACACCGACATCTTGCCGGAAGAAGCGCGCCAAGTGGCAACTTCCGGGTCCGCGCAGGATCATGGACGCGTCCAGTCCAGTGTCAGCGTGGCCGCTCAGCTCATCGTGGCAATCTACCTCCGGCACTTCCGTGGTTCGACGGCCGAGTGCAGTGAGGCCACGGGCCGACGGGCGCAGTTGGTGGCACACCAACGCTGACATGTGTGGCACGACGCACGACCGGCGCGGTGCCAGTCAAAAGAGCAGCCAACGCCTACGGAAGTTCGCGCCAGAAAGTAGGAGCATATAGCAGAGTTCACCCAACCGGTGCATCACATCCCATCTCCCTCACTTCCCTCTGACACACTCCGGCAACCGCCGCCGCGATCGATCAGATCCGGCCAACTACCCTGCGCCACCACCCTCAAGGCCTCAACCTACTTGTTGCAATCTGGAGGGATTCATTCAGAGTGGCACTTATCCGATCTTCCCGTCTCCGCCGTGCTCCTCAAACCCTGCCGGCACGCACTATTGCGATTTCACCTCCCCTTATTACATCTGGAGTCTGCTCCGCGGCACCCCTGAAGGAACAGTATTTCTTATTATCAGCTGGAGTCAGTTGTCCGGTTGTCACAAGAAAAGCTGTAGTCAGTTGAGCATTTCTCTGGTTGAGTGAAGCTTTGCTTTCTAGTGCTTCCACGCCATGTCTGCAATGCTCCTTTGGCTGCTCCTCTTGAGCGCGGCCAGCTCATCAGCACCGTGCATTGGTTCTGAACTCGACATCAGATGCCTCAAGATCGTGAAACAACCAGTGATTGATCCCAATGGCAATACTGAAATCATCATGCAATTTCGACAACACCACCGACGGTTTCGTATGCCGGTTTACAGGTGTGGAGTGCTGGAACTTCGACGACGAGAATAAGGTCTCCGCGTTGCGTCTCAGCAGCTTGGGTCTTGAAGGCCAGTTTCCTCGAGGTCTCGAGTACTGCACAAGCTTGGATGTGCTGGACCTGTCAAACAACAAATTTTCAGGACCCATCCCTTCGAACATCACACGGCAGGTGACATACTTGACATCTCTTGACCTCTCGTACAATAGTTTTTCAGGTGAGATCCCAGTCGGCATCGGCAATATGGCCCTGTACGCCCTGTACATTCAGCACAACCAACTCAGTGGTCAAATTCCAAGGGAATTTGATGGGCTTCTTCGGTTAACATCGCTCAATGTTGCAGACAACCGGTTGTCTGGGCTTATTCCTTTGTTTCTATCCAAGTTCCCGGCATCAAACTTTGCTGGTAACAAAGGGTTCTGTGGTCCACCGTTGGATGACTGGCAATTAATTAATTAATTAATTAACTCCTCCAAACCCATGTTTTTCCCTGGTTTTTCACAGCGGCCACGTCACCCCGAATTCAGGCAGTGAGCCACGTCGTCTGAAATTGCTTTGCTTGGCTAGCAGCAAGCCACGTCACCCCAATTCACCCCAAATAAATTGATGCCTCCCCTTCTCGAAAAAAAGACGGCCTCCCTCCCACGCCCGTTCTCCCCTCCCGCTCGTCTCGCTCACGCTACTCTCGCGGTGTGCCGCCTCCGCCGCTCGCGCCCCGTCCCCTCCCCGCCCGAGCCTCGCCTCCCTCTCCCTCTCCTTCTCCCTCTCTACCTCTCTCTCTCTCTCGACGTGGTGGCGCACCGGCCCGCCCCTGGCGCGGGCACCTCCACGCGCACACAGCCTGGGCGGTGGCGCCGCCGGTGTGCGCCGCAGCCGCGCCGACGGGCCCGGTGGTGGCCGCCTCCTGCCACGACGCGGCGCCCGCGAGCCCCGCCGCTGGCCGCGGCGCGCAGCTGCCTCCCCCCGGCGCAGCCTGCTCCCGACGGTCCTCGCATCGTCCCCTCCTTGGTTTGGTCCCCCCTCTCTCCTTACCTCTTCCTGCCGGATCTCCCTCTCCCAGCGTTCGCGAGGCTCACTCCCTTCACTATGGACGGCGATCTATGTGTACACGAACTGTGCGCCTGTGCTACAGGAAACCCTAGCTGCCTGTCCTCATCTTTTCGCTACAAATTTGGCTGCAGGTTTCCTGGTGTTTCTTCATGTGTATGCCGTTTTGAATCAATAGATATTTTTAATGTGTACTTAGCTATTGCTTAAATCTAGAACAACTCTTAGTTCTCACATAGCTATTTTCTTCATCCGACTCGGTGGTTGTCTTGAGTGTATTTTATTTTGGGCGGACCATATCTGTTTCAAGCCCAGCAGGTAGTCACTATTGTTACCAGCCTGTTCAAATTTTATGTTTGGGGCTGAATTTATCATGCTTCGAAATTGGTAATGTCTAAGTTATCTCTATATAACTTAGGTGTTGCCATGTTGGTCAGCATAGGCACCATGGCATCACTCCCAAATCCTCATAGCAAGCAAATTAGACCCCACGCCTTTTTCGTGCTACTATTAAGAAATTTCATTATTTTTAGAATAACAGCTCTACATTGTCTGCGGTGTGTGTTTAGCTGATACTGAATGTTTGCCTATTGAGATATTTGGTTTTGGGATGAATTTTATTCTCACTTACCAAACATCCATGCCTAGAAGGTAATTTCTCTTTCAAAAAATAGGTTAGCCTTGCAAATGTTATCTAATTCTTTTTCATGGATCTGACACAACGATCGATTTCTTAAAAGTGAAACAACACCCTTAACATTGTTGTAGGGATTTTTTGAACTCTTGCTTAAAGCATCTAATCGCACATAGGTGTAACACCTCTGGTGTTTTGACCTAGCACTAAAACTTGACATGTCATCATATGCATTGCAAAGCATTCATAGAGTAGAAAATTTTGAATGCATTCACTAAATAAGATTTATTTCATAATGTTGTTATTTCATATGATGTGATTCAAAATCCTAAATAAAGATCATGACTACAAGGGTCAAAATTCATGTGATCATGTGAGGTCATATGTCATTTGACTCAAATAACCCTAATGGGCCATGTTACTGGTCAAGAATCAAAATTTAAGTAAAAGGAAGACAAATCAAATTTGAATTCAAATTCAAATCACAAAAGCCCTTTTTGCCCCGTTTTACTAATTCAAAATCCATGTGGAATTTAGGGTTGTGATAAAAAGCAAAGTTGAAGCTTATTTTATAAGGATCAAATTTGGTATACAAAGTTTTTAAAGTTTACATATAAAGTTTGGAGTAATTTTGAAATGATTCAAATACTCAAATGCACCCTAAATTCAAATTTTAAAATGGAGGCAGAATTTGAAAATATTCCTTGAAGCAAAGTTGTAGAGTTTGAAAAGTTGAGCAACTTTTATTTTTAGAGATTTTCAACTTCTTTAGAATATTTGTGAGTAATTTGTAAATTAAACGCAGTGGCAATTCTGTAAATAATGCAAAAATCAAAATCCAGCCGAGAGCCACCTCCCTGCTTGCCGCCGGCGCCACGCAGCTACCGTCGCCGATCATTTTGCGCCGCTTTCTCGCGTGTTGACACGCAGCAAGCTCCGTAGCGAGCTCGTGTGTGAGCTGTCGACGCCGGGCGCGTTCTCCCCGGCTATAAATAGGAGCACCGCCGCCGTCGTCCTCCGTTTTTCTCCTCTGCCCTGCTCCGCCACCGCGCAGCTCTGCCGCTCGTCGTAGCCACCGTCAAACCGCGTCAGTCGTGCCCAGCTACACCAAAGCGATCGCCTCGACCTTGCGCTCATCTTCGACTTGCTCGCGTCGCTGGTGTTGGCCGGAATCGCCCGGCGCAACACGTTCTTCCCCGAGACCGACCGGAGCTCCGCCACCATCGACCTCGCCGTGGCCAGGACGTTCCAGCCCGTCTCCGCCTTCACCAAGCACACCGGCGTGATCGTGGTGAGCTCCTGAGCATGATGTTCGCTTCGCTTTTGCCTCTATTGCATCGTAATCGTAGTTGCATCGTGCGCCGTCGTGCCGCGCCGCCATGGTCGGTGTGGAGCTCTCTCCGGTGCACTTGCTGCCTTTCTGAAGGTTGGGATGGATTCATGGGGTAGAGTAGGTCATGTAGGTACGGTCTGCCTCGCCGGAGCATCACCGCTGGCACGTTTTGGCC